ACAATAAAATAAGGTTAATTAACCAAAGCCAAAGATTAATAAATTATAGATATCCTGATGCTTTTGTAAAGAGATCCACGTAATGGACTCAATTACAATCTCGAGCAGCAACAAAAAAATATTAATGGAACAATTTTCATAATCGATAATAATTCATAAAGCATTGATGAAATCCATAAACTTGAATAGTTGATGAAATGATAAAGGATTAGCTTCACGTTTAACCAATGGTGGTTGGACTTTGCTTTTACCTTCTAACACACTTACAACAGATGACATTGGTGGTCTCAATGTAGGAGATGGGTTTGTGCAGAGTAAAGCAATGTTCAACATTGTCTTTGCTTCTTTCGTCGAAAAGCTTGTACCGAGATCCATATCCACGATTTCTAGTAATCTCTCATTGCATACTCAGGAGCAATGTAACCTCTGCATCAATTGAAATAAAACTCGGTAAATGTCAAACCTTCGCGATGAATTAGAGAAAATATAAAGACTTCATAAGTCTTAGATCACTCACATTGTTCCTGCATCCGTATGGTGATATATATGTGTATTCTCTTCTTCGTCGAGTTTAGCTAGACCAAAACCAGAGATCTTAGCATTTAGAGACTAATCAAGAAGCACATTCGTCACTTTTATATCTCTGTGAACAATATTCAACCTCGATTCTTCATGTAGATAAGCTAATCCTTTCGCAATCCCTACGCATATCTTGTTCCTTGTTGGCCAATCCAAGTGAAAGTTTTGTTTCTCTGAACCTGTTAAAGAAAAACTCACAAGAGACATTAGTACAAAGATCAAGAACTTCGATTTATCATTCGCAAATGGATAAAAGAACTAACCAAAGAGTGGCGAGCGAGACTGCTGTTCTTAAGTAATCGTACACAAGCAAATGCTCTTTCCCTTCAATGCAACAACCATAAAGCTGCACAAGATTCGGATGTTGCAACGCAAATATCATCCCGATCTCAACCACAAACTCTCTGTTCCCTTGCTTTGATTTCGAAGAAAGCTATTTCACCAAACATCGTCTGAAGAAGACAATTGCTTTATTGATGCTTATTCTCGAATTTGAGAGAAATTAATTATAAAACCTAACCAAAAGGAATAGATCTAATGAAGAATCGTACCTTTTTGCTACTATCGTTTCCTTTTCTAGCTTTAATCACTGATCTCATTTTTTATAATTCTCTCAGCTTATCAATATCGCTCCCTTCGACCTCATAACCTTTTCGAATTTTTAAAAAAGAGTTTTTGATACCTAAAAATTCGAAGAATGAATATTAGTTTTTGATAAACTAAGTTTGCAAATTATATTGGTGGCTCTCTAATTTTTCTAACATCACAGATCGCGGATGAAAGAGAAGGATCGTGAGTCATGGATGATTGAAAACAACCGTCGATCGATTTTTCAAGCGATTTTTTTGGATTCTTAATGGAA